TTTGTTGAACTCTAAATAAGGAATTCCCATTATCTACATTTTGGGTTTCATTATTTAAACAGTTCTAAATTCACTTAATTGTACTTTCATGGGGCAAACATCTTTCCACCCTTTCCACAAGGTAAGCAAGAGAGACTTTGCCAAGTATTTCAATAACATCCAGGTATAATAGAATATATCTTGGCATTCCTTGTTCCCACTGTATCCTCTGCTGCTCTACCTCTACCTTTGAAGGTCTACAGGATCTTACTGTTCCCTGAGCTCAGCAATCTATGCCTCACCTCTGTTCCTTTCCCCATCCTGTCCCTAGGAAGCGCTTCTTCCTCACCACCACCTCTAAGCATCCTTAGCTTACTTCAAGACTCTGCTTAGGTACAGCAAGTCTTTCCTGATCCTGTTCATTGGTAGTGCCATCTTCTTCCTCTTCAGAATAGGGTGTCTCTAGCTGCCTGCATACTGTATCCCCCAGGAGAATGGAAGCTCCTTGAAGGCAAGGGCTGATTTTTTTGTCTTTGTAGTTTCAGTACCTACTGTGTCTCACACACAGTAGTTAGTCTGTCAATGAACTAACATCTATTAAGTGCCTAGTATGTGCACTGTGCTAAGCTCTAGGGATACAAAAAGAGGCAAAAAACCCATCATTTCTCTCAAGGAGCTCACAGTCTAATGGGGGAAGACTATGTACCAGCTGGATATATCCAAGATAAATTGGGGACAGGCACAGAATGCAGGCGCTGAGATTAAGAAGGACTGGAAAAGGCTTCTTGCAGAAAGCGGACTTTAGCTGAGACTTGAAGGAATCCAGGGAAGCTAGGAGGCAGAGATGAGGAGGAAGAATGTCCTAGGCATGGGGGACAGTCAGTGAAAATGCTTGGGGTGAGGAGATGGAGAGTATAGAGTAGGAGTTTAATAAAGGCTTGTTGGGTTGGGTAGATTTTCTTCTGGAGGGAATGAAGTGATCATCCCAGCTAATTGCCTCTTTTTGCAGATGAGGAAACCAAGACCCAGAGAGGAGATATTTGTCTAAAGTCACATAGATATTACATAGAAGAGTCAGGATTTGAACCCAGATCCTCAAACTACAAAACCCTAATTCTACTGCATCACACTGTGAGGAAAGTCCTTTATAAACCTAGACTTCATATAGTAATGAATACTGGTATTATTCTGTCTCTGTTGATGGGGTGGGAGGGTGGGGGTCTTTGATGAGTTAGATTAGTTTTAAAAAGGCAGCTAGGTGGATAGAATGCCAGCCCTTCAGTCAAGAAGACCTTGGTTCAAATCTAGCCTCCTCCACTTACTAGCTGTATGACCCAGGGCAAGTCACTTAGCCCCCTTTTGCCTCAGTTTCCTCAGCTATTAATTAGGGATAATAAAAGCAGGGTTGTTTTGAGGACTAAATGAGGATAATTGTATAGTGCTTAGCACAGTGCTTGGCACATAGTAAGTACAATATAAACATTAGCTATTATTATTATTGTTATCATCATCATCATCATCATTTTCAGGGCCAACAAGATTTCCAAATTCTTTAGGGTTTGTTTGTTTTGCTTTTTGAAAACTGGAGGCAGTAGGAAGTTTGGGTGCTTGTATTAGCTTCCCATCTGGTGGGACCTTAGGGAGAAGGGAGCTTGCATAAACAAACAAACAAACAAACAAACAAACAAACAAACAAATAAATAAATGAATGAATGAATGAATAATTAAAAAATATATATATATATGTATCCCCAGCAGGGAATGACTGTTTGGGTCTCAGATCGAAATCACAAATAACAAATCCTAACATCTCTGAGCTAAAAGGGCATCTGGGCCAACCCGTCTCCAACACCTCCAAAAAGCAATTCTCTAGCCTCTTCTTAAAGACCTCCACGACGGGGAACTTACTACCTTATTAGATGGACTATCCCACTTTGGAGTAATTCTTATCATTAGGAAGTTTTTCCTTATATTAAGCTTAGACCTAGTAACAAGGGTGTGCTGGAGCCAGCTCAAACTGGGTAGAGGGAGCCGGGTGTTAAATTTTCAGTGTGAGCATTTACACATCAGAAATCAGCAATCACTACAAATCAGGGCTTGATTTGATTTGTTGATTATCTAGACTTAAGAAAGTAATGGAGAAAATATTAGTCATTCAAAATCGAGCTTAAAAGAAGTTGTGTATGTAGTTTTCCCCTTGGAGTGCCCATTGTTAAACATTTCTCCAGCATCCCCATGGATCTAGCTCTCCACAACTTCCAGCCGTTGTCTAAAAACTTGCTGGGGAGCCAATCTGATCCCTTTCCCATGGCAGACTTCCAAATACCTGAGTATTACCTTCCTTATTCTTATCTCCTCCTGGCTAAACATCCCCAGTTCCCTCAACTGATCCTTACATGCTCTGGTCTATAATCCCCTTTTCAACATAATCACCATTTTTCAGAGGGTGATTTGCAAGAGAATGTAGAAGAAATGTTGTCTTGAAGCCTCGGGTCATGGGATGTAGAAGTTGTCTCCTTCCCCTTGGAAATGAGTACCATGCATTTTTGTGAAAACACCGCTTTCTTGGCATTCATTAGAGAGATCTCATCAGTCTCACTCAGGGTGGGGATGGTGGTGGCCCCATCAGAAGCTCATCAGCCCCTGTCTGAGGGAGGATGCTTGAAAACTTCCCAAAGGGCTTTAAACACAGTAGGTACTCAGTGCATGTTTGGTGACTGCTTGATGGAGTGAAAGGAGGGGATCTGGGGTCAGAAATTGAAAATTGATGTCTCTATTTCTTCTCCTTCTCCCAAAGATCATAGGGTTTAAATAAAGCTGGAAGAGACCGAAGAGATCCTTCCTAAAACATTTGTGATACTGCTTGTCAAGGGTAGGAAGCCATGGAAAGAGACCTAGACTAGAAATCTGGCTTTTAGTCATGTCTCCAAAACAGAAGTGACATTGTGATCTTAGGTAAATTCCTTCCCTTAGGTGGGAGTCTGTGTGATAAGTGGGCTGGTCTGGATAATCTCTAAGTACCCTTCCACTCCTGAAATTCCATAGCTCTAGTGGCCTCAATTTCTTCCTCTCTCAAGTAGGGATAACTTCTCCCCCTCTCTTCCTTAAGCCCCAGAATGATAAGATTTTGGAATCTCAGAATGGGAAGGGACCACTGAATCCAACTTATGGAGAACCCCTCTTTTGCTGACCATCTGGGAGCATGAGGAGGATCTAGCACAGGGTCTATGTGGAGTAAAAGCACAGTAACTGTGGATTATGACAAGGAAGATGCTTTATGAATCATAAGGCATTATTGAGCCTTATAAATTACAGGATATCAGAGCTGGGAGGGGCCCAGTAGAGATTATGCTGAAGTTAGAAAGGACCTCAGGACACAGAATGTCAGACCTGGAAGGGACCTTTTTTTTTTTTTAGACTTGGAATTCATTCTGTAGGAAACTCTCTGTTAGGAAACTGCTTACTCCTAGTGCAGATCAGTTAATTACAGGTCTAGAGAGAGAGAATGGCCTGGGAGGGGGTTACTGAGAGTTAAGTGACTTATGGGTATGGTCACACAGTAAGAATAGAATATAGAATATCAGAGCTGGGTGAGACATTAGAACATAACAAATTCAACAAACAATCAATAAGGGCCTACCTGGTATAAGGCGCTATGCTCCTATGGTGGATTACAAAGATTGAAAAAAAAAAAGTCTTTGTCCTTGAGTGGTTTACATTCTATCAGGAAGGCTATTATCCTGTATACAGGTAATATGGTAGAATAGTCAGTCGATAAACATTATTAAGCACCTGCTATATACCAGGCACTGTGCTAAGTGCTTAATATGAGGCAGAATATAACGGGACAAAGGAGAATGAACAATAATGGCCAAGATTTATATATATTATTTCATTGAAGTCTCAGAACTGTGGGAGGTAGATGCTATTATTACTCCCATTTTATAGATGAGTAAACTGAGGTTAAATGATTTGCGGCAGGTCACAGAGCTAGTAAGTTTCTAAACAGCATTCAAACTCAGGTCTTCCTGCCTTCAGGTACAGCTCTCTATCCACAATTCATTTCAATTCAATTCAATTCAATAAGCTGCCTTTTGATTCAGTCCAAGATGATTGATCGAATAAGAATAATAATAATAGCTAGCATTTATATAGCACTTTTAGGGTTGCAAAGCATTTTACAAATAATTTTAATTTAATTTAATTTAATTAATTTAATTAAATTATAATTATATTTTATTATATTATATTATCATTATTAATTTAATTTAATCTTATTATTACTCTTATTATCCCTATCTTATAAAAAAGGAAATGGAGGCTGAGATAGATTAAGTGATCATACAGCTAACAGGTATTTGTAGTACTCTAGAAAAATTTGAGGAGGGAATGATCCCTTTCAGCAAGGGCTAGGGGAGATGAGGGAGGGCTTCATGGAGGAGGTTGCCCCTGAGCTGAGCCTTGAAAGAAAAGTGAGATTCTGAAAGGTAGAGATGAGGAGGGAGTCTGTACGTTAAGGTATAGGGGATGCCCCATAAGAATGCATTTGGAATTGGGAATAGATCACAGTGTAGTTCAGCAGGAGAATTATATGAAGTAAGGCTGGAAGCAGGTTAGGACAAGATTATAGAGGACTTGAAATGCTACTTTAAGGCATGCTTTTTAAGAGTGGGAAGAGACTTTAGAATGTGTAATGTCTGAGCTGGGAGGGCCCTTGGAACACAGAATGTCAGAGCTGGGAGGGGCATTAGGACACAGAGTGTCAGAGCTGGGAGGGCCCTTAGAGGACATCTAGTTCAACTATCCCATTTTACAGCGGAAGCTTGGCCCAAAGAGCTTTCATTGCCCAAAGTCTCACAGTGAGTCAGTGGTACTGCCAGTACTGGAATCTAGTTCTCCTAATTCCCATTCCTTGGCTGTCCCTTTAGTGCTCTGTTCATTCTTTTGGGGTAAAGCTTTATCCTCTGCAGGCTTCACTTTTTAAGTCAACAAAGTGCAGTTAATTGTCCTTTATCCCTTAGGTTGATGGACCCAGACTGGATGGAGAGGGCGGAGGAGAAGAGCGAGGGTCGCTTTGCCCTTTTAAAGAGCCAGATCCATGTGGTGCTAGAAGGAGGAGAGCAGGGGGAGATCATTGATTGGTTCCCGTCAGGAAGTTCCTAGAGATCACAGGCTCAGTCACGGGGCAGCTGATGTTTAATCTTCATAATCACCGTTGAAAGAAAAATTAGACATCTGCCGTCAGGGAAACTGGAAAGTCAATTAAGCACTAATCAGGAACAGTGGGAAAGGAACAGGCCTGTCCCCTTGTCTCTATCAACCTGAAACCAGCCACTTCCTTCACGGAGAAGGGCAATAAACATTTATGGAGTGCCCACTATATGCAGGGCACTATGCTAAGAGATTTACAAATATCATCTCATTTGAGTCTCACAACCACTGTGGGAGGTAGGTGCTATTATCCCATTTTACAGTTAAGGAAATTGAGGCAGACAGCGGTTAACTTACCTGCCCAGAGTCACACAGCTAGGAAGTAGCTGAAGCTGGATTGGAAGTCAGGTCTTCTTGAGTGGAGGGCCTGCACTCCATCCACCTAGTCCAGGAAGCCTTTTCTAATGATTCCCAAGAATCCCCTTTCAATACAGGCATATCTCGGAGATATTGCAGGTTTGGTTCCAAACCACTGCAATAAGCAAATATCACAATAAATCAAGTCACATGAATTTTTTGGTTTGGAAGTGCATATGAAAAGTGATGTTTACACTATTCTGCAGCCTATTAAGTGTGTGATAATATTGTCTAAAAATGTACATACCTTAATTAAAAAATACTTTATTCTTAAAAAATGCTAACCATTGTCTGAGCTTTCAATGAGTTGTAATCTTTTTACTGGTAGAGGGTCTTGCCTCGATGTTGATGGCTGCTGACTGATCAAAGTAGTGGTTGCTGAGGTGGCTGTGATAATTTCTTAAAATAAGACAACAATGTAGTTTGCTGTATTGATTGAGTTTTCCCTTCACTTGGACACTCAGAGGCCATTGTAGGGTTATTAATTGGCCTAATTTCAATATTGTTGTGTCTCAGGGAATAGAGAGTCCAAAGAGAGGAAGAGAAATGGGGGAATGGCTGGTCAGCAGAGTAGTCAGAGCACACACAGGACATTTACCAATAAGTTTGGTTTGTGGTACCTCAAAACAATCACAATAGTAACATCAAAGATCATTGGTCGAAGATCACCATAACAGATACAATAATAATGAGGAAGTTTGAAATATTGTGAGAATTGCCAAAATGTGACATAGAGACACGTTGTGAGCACATGCTGTTTACAAAATGGTGCCCATAGATTTACCCAACACAGGGTTGCCACAAATCTTCAATTTGTAAAAAAAAAAAAAGCAGCAATTATCCACAAAGTAAAGGTAATAAAACGAGGTATGACAGTGTGTTAGATCATGGCAATGCAATGCAGTGGGCAGCTCCCTAACAAGATCACTGGATTGAGAGTCAGAAGGGATCAGATATGTCACCTAATCCAACCTCTTCATTTTGTAGATGGCAAACTGAAGGTCTGGAGAAGTTGTCTTTTGTTCAAAATTATAATTGGGCAGGAGCACAGAGATAATGACAATTTTCTTCTCTAGTGTTTTCAGGTCTATAAAACACTCACTGGTCTCAACAACCATTCTGGAAAGTTAATCATCCTTGCTTTACAGATGGGGAAACTGAGGATCACAGAGATAAAAGTGATTTGTCCAAGGTCCCAAACTAGGTTCATAGTTCTAGTGCTCAAAGGCCATCCAGTCCCTTCTCCCCTTCTCAATATGTAGATAAGGAAATTGAGGCTTGGGAAGGTTATTTGTTTGTGGTCACATAGGTAGTAAGTGTCAGAGATGGGATCTGAACCCAAGCCCTTTCATTCTAGTGCCAATGTTTCAGAGCTGGGCCTTAAACGCAAGTATCCTAACTCCAGGTTTAGCCCTTTTCTTTAACATGGCCCTGCCTCGCAGGAGAATACCAGCATGTATCAGTGAAAGAGAGAAGAAGACTAAAGGGGAATGTGGGGGAGGAAACCTGGAAGGTACTTCAGAATCATGACCTCTTTTTCTGTCATCCTAGCCACCACTCCTGACCTATTTCCAAGGTCACTAATGAGATAGTCAAAGAGGAAGGACTTAAAACCAGTTCTACTGGGCTCTTGGGGCTATATTTTTCACCATTTCCCTCCTGGGATGTGTTAACTTGGAAAGCAAAGCACGGTCTCTAGAGTTAGAAAGCCTAGGTTCAATTTCTGCCTCAGACACTTACCGTGTCCTGTGTGACCTTAGACCAGCCACAACCTCTCTGGGCCTCAGCTTCTAGATCCTATTCTATCATCCCAGCAGGTTGGCATCCAGGGGACTGACCTATCTCTCGGATGACAAGATTTAAAAGTAAAAAGTGCCATACAGAATCATAAGAGAAAACTGAGGGCCAGAGGGATTGTGACTTCCCAAGGTCATACAGGTAAGTGATGGATGTCCTTATCAGGACTCCAAATTCACTGCTCTGAAAGGCTCAGCCTCTCCTGGTGGCAGGGTCGGGGTTCTGGGGTGGGACAAGGCACCCATCCTCTTGGTCCTGAGATGGTGCTAGGAGAAAGCTCCCTTGCTATATACATTTTATACATGATAGGAAGGAGGTTAAGAGTTGGAAGGGACCTTAGAGGCCATCTCGTTCAACTGCTTGATTTTACAGAAGAAACTGAGGTTCAGAGCGTTAGGTGCATTTTCAAGGTCGTGAACAGCAGGGCCAGGTCTTGAACCCACCGACTCCGCCAAGCTGCCTCCCCGAGGGACCTCTCTGCGCCCCATTCCGCTACCAGGGCGCCCCCTCCCCCAGCCCCATCCCGGCCCCCGCTCAGCAACCTCCCGGGCCAGCCCCGCCGCCACCTCCCCCGCCCGCGCCTCTCCGGCCGCCCGCATCTCGGCGGGGGCCTGGGAATGGAGGCTGAAATGACCCGGTGATTGTCGGCGGAGGCCTCTGCTCTAATTTCGCCGGAATAGGTTTTGAGCGGCTAATGCGGCCCCCACTGCGCGGGAGATGGAGGCAGCGGCAGGGTCTCCGTAGGCGACGAACATTCACTCAAATGGCATTGTCTGGCTCCGCTCCCCGAGGCCCCGGGGAGCCCTTCACCCAGGGAGGGGGCTGCGCCGGCAGCTGGAGAAGCCGCGGTCGGAGGCTCTGTGCAAAGTTTACTTTCTCTGGTAGGGGGAGGGGTCCTTGGAGGCACCACAGCCCCCCCACTCCCGCCCCTTTCCCTGGGGGGGAGATCCGTAGCCTGGGGGAGTGGTCATCCCCTTCTGGTCTCTCACTCTGTGAGTGTGTGTTGAGGGATGGGGGCCAGAAATTACCAGGGCTTTTAGACATCATTGAATCTCAATCAGCCGCTGATGCCCAGGGAGGGGTGGGGACCCCTGGTCCCCCAGATAGTAAGTGGCAAAGTCAAGATTTGAATCCAACTCTGTTTGCATATCTCTTTTCCCACTGTACTGAGCAAATGGAGTAATCAGGCCTGTCTGAAGTCAGGCCCCAGGGATAATGCAGTCCTACGGACTTTTTGGCTTACAAAGCACTTTCCTAATAATAGTCCTCTGAGGTAGGTAGTACAAGGATTGTTTCCCCTGTTTTCATAGAATCATAGAGTTAGAACTGGAAAGGATCTTGGAAGTTCCATAGTCCTCTAACTCCTTCATGTTACAGATAAAGAAACTGAGTCCAAGAGAGGTGATTTGCTTAAGCTCACACAGGTTATATTTGAACTCAGATCAGCTGAGCGGGTTTCAGTGTAGTTCAGTAGAAAGACTAGTGGATCTAGGGTTCAAGACCTGAGTTCAAATTCTGCCTCAACTATTTATTACATGGAGCAAATCACTTTCTCTCCCAGCCACTGCAGCAGGCCGCCTCCTTACTGAGCTGCCTCTTTTCTAGGCTACTTCAGTTCTGCCCAGTTGGCCCCGAACATATAACACCAGGGATGGTTTTAACTGTTCCAGAGAGTGGGTGGTCCAGGAGCTCTTTGGGACAGACAGGGCACAAGGCTAGGCCCAGGCACCTTTTGGCATATTGGAGGAGGCCCTAAGGTGTGTATGAGGGGCATTCTTTGAGGTGTAGTCATTGGAAACATTGGAAGCAACCAGTATCTGGTTTGTTTTTTTAATCTAACCAAACCCACCTCCATTGCTGTTGTCCTGGGAACCAAGGATTTTTCTGCCCTACCAAATAATTGACAATGATTGAGGCAGTGGTCAGGAGCTTTCCCAGACCTTCTCCTGGAGGCACAGTTCCCTACCTAAAGGCGCCTGGGACAGAGTTGGAGGCCCTGGTTACTGGGAATTCTTTGATCCAGGAGTACCTGGGTTCTAGAGTGAGCATAGGAGAATTTCCCAATTGTATTTCAGATTAGAGACATTAGAGGCCATTTTCTTTCCCTTCTCACCCAAATATACAAAGATACACAGACACAGAGGGACACAGATACACACAGAGAGATGAAAATACACAATGAGAAGACTGCAGAAACTTATATGCATTGACACAGGATGGCATGCTGGAAAACATTTCTTCAACCACACAAAGATGCAGGAACTCAAATCTAGACTTACAGAGACACACCCACCGATATGCACAAGGGCACAGTCTCATAGATCCATGATGACACACGGACCCAGGTGCAGAACCTCAAACACTGGCACGCCTTGTACTTGGTCACACGGACACCTACTCATGTAGACACATTCGAGTCTCCTTGGGTCTCTGAGAGGAAGCTGGATTTCTATAATCAGCCAGGTTACCCCTTCCCATCTCTGTTAACACATGGAAGACTCCTGAACTAAAGATGGGTTGAGAAGGGAAGGGATGATGTATTAAGTGAGACCTCTAAGCTTTCCCCAGAGAGAATATTTGAGGACTTCGTTTCTTTTTTGTTTGTTTGTTTTTGCTTTTTTTTTTTTTTTTGGTGAGGCAGTTAAGGTTAAGTGACTTGGCCAGAGTCACACAGCTAGTAAGTGTCAAGTATCTGAAGTGGATTGAACTCAGGTCCTCTTGACTCCAAGGCCGGAGCTCTATCCACTGCGCCACCTAGCCGCCCCAGGACTTTATTTTTTTTAGGGGAGTCAGAGAGCTTGGGATTTAGTCCGAACTATGTTACCAGCTGTGTGACTTGGGATAGTGGGAAGAACACTGGATCTGGAGAATCTGGGTTCAAATCCCAGCCACCTGATTGGGTGATCTTTCTCTGGGTCTCACTTTCCTCATGTGTAAAATGATGAGACTGGAATAGAATATT